TTTTAATCATCTTCCTCAGACAATAAAAATGTTGGCTACTGATGAGAGAAGTTTTAAATCTGCATTGATGAAGTTTTTATATCATCATTCATTTTATTCCATGGGTGAATATTGTCAACATAATTGGTCATAAGTGTGCAAATCTGTAATGTATTTAATTCAGTTAATATGGGTAATTTAAATAAAATTGTATTAATTCAGTTTTTATAGTAATTTGTTTTAATTATGTTTATTAATTGAAATCTTATTAAAAATATTACTTTATATTATTATTTATGTTAATCAATTAATGTAAATAATTTTTATTATGTGACTCATGTAATTTTGTATTTGTATTTTGATATATCTATTTTCAAAGGGACCATTTCCACATCCTAGGTTTTTTACCTGTATGTGGATATATGGAAAATAAAGGAAATGAACAAATGAGTGAATGAATGGATGAAGGTGCATGTGGAACTTCAGACCTTGGATATGGCTGTGCTGAGGGATGTCATCATTGGCAAGAGAGGTGTCTGCCCCTGGTAATGATAATTCTGTCTGTGAACAAAAGCATGTGCACATTCCAGAATGCAGCAAGATATACAGAGAGTGGAAGAAGGCAAAAGTTTTGTTGGGTGAGACTGTGAAAGTTTATCCAGGTGCTATTGAATGATGGCATGCATGTGCCAGAGACCAGGTGAATGTGTATAGATTATGGATAAAGGCAGCACAGTCTACACTTTAGGGGAATGTTGCCTGTGACATTTCCAGTGTACAAGCATTGTGTATCAGGATGTGGAAATATGTAGGTGCTTTGGAGTCCTTTGTTTTCAGGGTGAAAGTGGGAGATCTGTTGATAGCTGTTTTCATGGTGCAAAAGTCAAGTTGCCTCCCTCTGTTGATTCTGATGATGTTTGTACAATAGCAAATCTTTTGTGGTAGAGCATGACTTCATAAAGAATATTATGTACAATGAACTGCTGCAATGTGAGTTGCAAATAAAATATGACAATTTCAGTGGGATACAAGGTTCTCATAGTGGTGGTTATGAAGGCAAAACTCTTTATGACAAGTCAGAGTTACTGTATTTCAGTGTACTTTGAGACACCCATAATCTAGCCAGTGTTACAGTTGTAGACCGATGACTGAATCAACTTTTAGCTGATGGACATAGGCACTTGCATTTATACATGGACATTGCTATTATATTAGATAAGCTTAAGCTATTGGGATGTTGTCTTTTTGTGATAGAGAAAGTTTACCACTTGCAGGTTGGAGACCTTGAAGAATTGAAAGAGATTACCCTAGCTCTTTGCAAAGAGAGGAAGACACCACTGCTGATAGGGTCAGTCAAGTCAAACATGGGACACACTGAAGGAGCAGCAGGTCTTTGTGGTGTCATCAAAGTCATCATTGGCCTGGAGACTGGCTTTATACCCCCAAATCTCCACTACAGCAACCCCAGAGAGGAAGCTGAATCACTTATAAATGGACAGCTGAAGGTGAATATTGATATCACAGCACTGAGTTAGAAGCTTGTAATATTCTGATACTGTCACTTCATTCATTTAACCGTTTCAGGGCTGTAGATGCAGTGGTAGTGGCTTACACAGGCATGTGCTTTGCTTCACATGTAAGGACATGTGTAACATTGACTTTGAGTTTGAGGATCTCCACAAACTACTTAAAACACTTGCTGCTTGATCCCTGTACTTTGTGGGAATCAGATCACTAAACTAATAATTATACAATTTACTGATCCATTTCTTTACATGGTTCTTTCATGTACAAATCTTAGGTGGTGACTGAGAAGGTTCCATGGACTGGTGACCTTGCGGGTGTCAGCGCCCTTGGACTTGGAGGAGCGAACACCCACATCATATTGCAGAGGAATCAGAAGCAAAAAGTAAACAGTGAGGCTCCTACTAATTGTGTTCCGCCCCTTGTTGTTGCATCTGGACGTACAGAAGAGGCAGTTGATGTCATCCTGAAGGATGTAAGTATGCCTGCTGTGTGGCTGCGCCATAGCTCAAGCAGTTAATCACTGGCTTCCTACCATGGTGGCCCGGGTTCGATTCCTTATCTGGTCAATTGGGATTTGTGGTCAACAAAGTGGCGCGGGGCATGTTTTCTCCGAGTACTTCGGTTTCCCCTGCCAATCTTCATTCCGCCAATTGCTCCACCATCACGCTCACATATCATCTGGTGCTGGTACAATGGGCCAGAATTGGCCGCAGTGCAAGGGGTACAAGGGACTTAGTCCCACCCCACTAGCAATGCCTGCTGTCACAGTTTCATGTTTTGTAGAGCAAAATTCAGAAACCTACTAACCAGAATATCTAACTACATGGAGCATAGTTCTCATTGTGGAACTAATGCGACAGACAGTCAACTGTTGTCATCATTGTCATTGCTTTCCATAAGTGAGGTAAGCGTTTCCCATTTCATGCTTTTTGTAATATGAATCATTGTTGATTTACATTGATTTGCACTAGATGGTAGATTGAATGCGGGAGAGAAGGAATGCATGTAGGATATTGGTGGGAAAGCCAAATGGAAAGAGACCAGTAGGAAGACCAAGGCATAGGTGGTTGGACAAAATTAAAGTGGACCTTAGAGAGATACGATGAGATTGTATGGACTGGATTGATCTGGCTAAGGATAGGGATCATCTGACTCTGATCATCTCTTGCTTTTGTTCCTGGCCAGCTCTTATTTCTTGTTTTATTTCCTCTCTGTCAGTTTTTCCTTTGGCATTCATGTCATCTCAGATATCATCTTTCATTTCGTTCATCATTTCCATCATTGTTTTAATATTGGCATCCATTCTTTCATCAGTGGCGTCCATTTTTTCTTGCTTTGCTTTAGTATTGGCGTTCATTTTGGCCAGCATGGCTTTCAGGAATTCCACTTTTTCCATTTTTCTTTCAAGTGGAAATGCAAAATAAATCTTCTGTTGAATAATAACTTCAATATGATCCAGTTACTCCTGACATCAGTTGTCACGTATTTGTGGTCATAACTACTGTTGAAGAATCTAATTTCATTGGAGCCGCCAACTTCATGCACGAAAATTTCACGTGTAGGGTGGTACAGGTGATGAATGACAGGTTATATTTCGGATGATTGAATTTATTGGTACTCTCTCTTAATTACACTTAAATACAGTGCTGCACATGATTCCATGATTTATAATTCACTGTTAGACCTTTCATGGTAATCCAATAAAACACAGGAACTAGCGCTTCAAATCACTCCAAATATTACACATGAATAAAGTCTTCAACTCACACTTAAAATCTTCACAAGTCGACAAATTTTATGGCTGTCTCCTGCCAAGAACTCAGAACTCAGAATTCGGGACTCTGTCATAACTCACTTCTAGTTCAAATTTGCTCTGAATTTACAGCTCACAGTCTCCTTATGTTGCCTCGGCACAGACGACACAGAAATCACAGTTCTATTGTTGCATAAGGAAGACCACAGAAAAGACAAGTCACGTAATAGTTACCTCACCAGTCCAGTGGGACGTTGACTGTTGCCTAGCAATGAGCTATAAACATTCGTTCACTGAGATACAGCTTCTGTTATTGCGTAAAGTACGGTATTTACAGAGCTGCTGCCTGGCAATGTGTTGATCAAATCTGTTACAGTATCTTCAAAACGGATCATGTTGGTGTATTGTCAGTACACTACATACTGTAGCATGGAGACCCATTGCTAAGTAATGACTGTGCAAACAATGCCCATATTTACGCAACAGATTCCTAACATGTATTAATGGACTAAATGGAAAGCAGTATTCTCTACGTGGTCTGTGTGACAGCTGTGTAACACAACAATAGAAGAACTGTTGGAATGGCTGTTTTCTATGCAGTCTGCATCAAGGTATTATAAACATGAGAAGTTTAGAGTTTAATTGTTTGTGAGGAAGATGCCAGCCAGTAAGGATGTGATCATGGAAGCTGAAGAAGCTACGGCATTGGAAGCCATTACTATGGGAAAACTGGTGAAGATACAGCAGGACGAGGAAAATTAGTACATACTGTAGTGAAATGTAAGAGTGTGTGAGTTAGTGACAGCACTATAGTTACTTTTAGTTACCATCTGTAAGTGTTCAATAAATTCAATTACTGGTCGAAACCATGTCTATAGTCACTCATACATATGACAGTATATTCTGAAAGTACTCAATAATTATTAGAATCAACTGTATAACACTTTTTCATAAATAAGTGCAATAATATTTTCCTTCCATCTTACTTACTTACTTACTTACTTACTCATAGAGCTGAGCCCTTATGGGGGAACCTCCAATTCAGCAGCTACTCAAGAATTTCCCAGCATTTTATGGAACCTGAAGGTTCATTACCGTGTTCACAAGAGCCTTCCACTGGTCCCTATACTGAGCCAGATCTATCCAATCCATAACATCCCATCTTATCTCTCAAGATCCATTCTAATATTGTCCACCCACCTAAACCTTGGTGTTCCCTGTGGTCTCTTTCCTTCTGGCTTTCCCACCAATATCCAATATCTCCCCCATTTGTGCTACATGACCTGCCCACCTCATCCTCCTTGACTTGATCATTCTGATTATACTTGGACAAGAGTAAAAATTATGAAGCTCCTCATTATGCAGTTTTCTCCAACCTCCTGTCACTTCATCTCTCTTCAGTCCAAATATTCTCCTCAACACCCTGTTCTCAAACACCCTCAGTCTATGTCCCTCCCTTAATGTCAGAGACCAAGTTTCACACCCATACAGAACCACAGGCAAAATTGTAGTTTTGTATATTCTAATTTTTATGTTTTTGGACAGCAGACAAGAAGAACAAAGGTTCTAGACTGAATGGTAGCAAGCATTACCTGAGTTCCATCTCCTCTTAGTTTCCTCCTGAATCAGGTTTCAATCTGTTATCATTGTTCCCAATTATCTGACCTGTGCCACATTTTCAAAATATCTGTTTCTTATCTTTATGTCATGATTTTGCCCTGCATTTTGGTGACCTGTAGCTGTGTAAATCTGACATGATTATATTTAAGATGCTGTTTCATCATTTTGACTTCAGTTGAAAATATCTGCAGTTACATAGTTTTTGCCACTGCATGTACCTACAGTTTGAGAGCCATCAAGTTGATGCAGAGTTCGTGCACCTGATGCATGATCTCCAGTCAACAGAAATTGTTGGCCACAAGTATCGTGGGTACACACTTCTCACACAGGATGGCAGTAACCTGAGGAGTATTAAAGTGAGTATGCAATTAAGTACCATGATTTCATTGAGCTGTGCCTTGTATCAGTATATTATTCTATGAAACAGCCTGTTGCCTTGCTACACATCCTACATTTTGTACCCATTCCTTTTATACTGGTCATCTTTCAGCCTATACCTACACTCTCTTATCCACCAAGACCCTTCCTACTGTTTGGCATGATGTAGATATGTTATCTATGTGTGGGATTGAGAAGCTGAATCAGATTCAGCTCCAGCTTAAGTCATATACCCTTAGAAAGTTAAGCCCAGGATTTCGGAATGAAAGAGCAGGAGGTGAGTGCCTGGTTTCCAAATTTATACAGTGGAACCTCTCTTAACGAGTAATTCGCATAACGAGGAAAACAAATTGTAAAAAAATGACTTGCTTAATGAGTGACGTTTTGCCTGACGAGTGACGAGAAGGGAAGTCCCGGATTGTGCGCTTGCTACATCAGTCTGTGTTTAGCGCCTGTTCTGCTAGCATCTTAGTGTTGCTTGTGGTCACACATTTTTGCAAACTTGTGTTCAGACATATTATTTGTGATTTTTATGTGCAAAGTTTAATAGCCCTTGCAAAAATGTGCCCGAAGAAAAAGCCGCAAAAAGACAGCCATAAGAGAATAAAAATAACCGTAGAAATGAAACTTAAAATCATTGAAAAGCGAGAACGAGGTGTGAGCATGGCTGATCTAGCACGCACATACAGTCGGTCTACATCAACGGTTTGGAGTTGCATTGTGCTTCACAGCAAGAAGTTGTGGAGGAGAATTTGTCAGAGGAGGAGGAGGTAACAGCAAAGCAATAATCTTCTGGCGCAATAAGAGAAATTCTGAAAGCATGGGAAACTGTTGCGTCATACATTGAGAAGCATCACCCTAATAAGGCAGTGGCTATGCCCACTACAAATTTATTTAATGATAATGCTGTGTCGCATTTTCACCAAATTTTGAAGCGTCGGCAAAAACAAATGTCTCTAGACAGGTTTCTAGTAAAAAAGAATTAGATATGTATCATAAATAATAAACTA